GTGTCTGCCTAATTTCCTCTGCTCCATCTCCAGCACTTCGTAGGAAGCTTGTTATTCACTCACCATTCCTGGGGCACTTATACTCTTATTTGCAGTATTTTTTTCTAGTGTTTCTATAAAGTATATTTTTCATTGATCTTGTTTCATTCTCTTTAGTGTTTCTCAATCACTTCCTCTGTTATCCCTGCCCCCATTGTCTGTCTGCTACTATGTATATTTCTCTTTCCACTCACTGAAAAGTTTAGTTACAGATATTCTCTTTTATCCTCTTCATACAATTTCTCCTTTCTGCTGGGATTCTATGCCATTCGTTCATTTGTCCATATAAACATTTGTAGCTAGAGTTTTCCTGGTCCTGCCTGGCCCACAGTCAGGACAAATCTCTCTCACCCGCCAGTGCCACAGCCACTCAGACCCAACCAAGTAAACACACAGAGACTTTTATTGCCTACAAACTGTATGGCCGTGGCAGGCTTCTTGTTATCTAGTTCTTCTATCTTAAATCAACCCATTTCTATTAATCTATACCTTGCCATATGGCTTGTAGCTTACCAGTACTTTACATCCTGCTTCTCATCTTGGTGGCTGGCAGCATCTCCTGGCTCAGCCTTCCTGTTCCCAGAATTCTCTGCTTGTCCTGCCTATACTTCTTTCCTGGCTACTGGCAAATCAGCATTTTATTTATATAGAGTGATATCCACAACAAACATATGACCATAGTTTTCATTAAGTCTTTGAATTACTTTTTATGGTTGAGTGGAGGTTATTATCTGCTAATTGCAAAATTTAGGACATCTCACATTTATCTGCTTCTATAAACTGTAATTGCAATTGCTATGTCTTAATGCTCTGTACTGTGTACAGCTTATGATTTTACCATGTATCAGATGTCATACATAATGCGTGAAAAAGATTCTGGTATGTAGTGTTTCTCTGAAGAATGATGGTTTTTGATGTAATAAGTGTTAAATTATTTACCAGTCACCATAAGCTAGTGGAGAATATACTCTGCACCATTTTCAAGTGGGTCGGTGTCAGTTTTGTTGTTAGCCTCATGACAAATCAGTACTTCATTAGAACCCAGATAGACCATGGTCCCGGAATTCGAGTGAACTTTGAGGTACTGATGAAGAACCTTCATTTGTCGGGGTTCAGTTGCCAGACTGCATGGCAGAAAATGATAGCTGATATGGATGCTACTTCTTCAATCTTGCAGTTTGCATTCTCTGGGCTCTTTAACACCCTTAACTTCTCACACAGAAACAAACATTGAGGAGGAGGTTCCCTTGACATGTGAAATATCTTTCTGTTTTCACATTCTGATTTCCTTGTCAATGTGTGCTTTTGTGTGAGTCCTCTGAGACCTATCAATGAGATTCTACTGTATCTAGCCATCCTGAATTTCTGGGGTTGAGGAATTTTCTTCAATATAGGACTACAAACAAGGAAATCCTAGGAAAAATAGAGAACAGGTGGTAACTTTTTAAGTTGCCAGAGAAAAGCCACAATCGTAGGCCTAATTCAACTTTGCTTGCATTCTGCCTTAATTTCTTTATACTTTCACACCACTTTAGACATTTTTTAATACTTAGTATAGTTGTTTATTTAATATTTCCCAAATAGTTACAAATATTTTCCAAAGAAGGATCATCTACTGAGTAATTGCCAGAAATAAAATCTGTATTGTCATTTCTCATGAGATACTATACAATCCAACTTATAATTTTGAAATTTATATACTCATTTATTCTCTCTCTCTCTCTCTCTCTCTCTCTCTCTCTCTGTGCCATAGTACACTTGTGGTAGTCAGAAGACAGTTTTTGGGAAAGGATAACTTTCAATACTCAGTTCTCGTCTACCTCATCGAGTTCGTCTTTCTGGATGTTCCTGCCATTGCACAACTTGCTCCAGGTTATCTGTCCCCACAAGCTTCTCAGAAATCCTTTTGTCTCTGTCTTATTTCCTGTTACAAATGCCTGGAATACAGAAGAACACCATTGATTTGGCTTTTGAAGTGGGATTCCAGGGAGCAGCCTCAGATCATCAGGCTTGTACCAAGAGCACCTTTTTCCTACAGATAGATTGCACTGGCTCACAATATTGAATCTCATAACTTGCTTCTGGAGATAGTAGTGACCACAATAGCAAAACTATTACCACTGCTTTAAATTAAGAATAAAATTGATCTGGGGCCATGGTGCTACACACCTTTTATCCCAGCACTTGGGAGGCAGAGGCAGGAGTATCTCTGTGAGTTTGAGGCCAATCTGGTCTACAAAGTCAGTTCCAGGACAGCCGGGGCTACACAGAGAAACCCCATCTCAAAAAACAACCAACCAAACAAACAAAATTAATAAAATTGGAAAATTTAATATAAACACTAATGACAGCCATAATCAATAAATACTCTCATTTAATTGCAATTCCTTATGGGTGAGAGGATATGAGTGGCAGTTTTCTTCATTCTGCTGTCTATATTTTTCAAAGTTTAATATAATTTTATCTGCATGTATGTATATACATATACTTATAATTTGCAATGAAATGAGCTTCATTTTATTAATATAAATAGGTAATATGATTACAAAATGAATTTTTAAATCATGTATTTTATAAGTACTAGAGAATAAAATATGTATTGTGGAATATTACTTTAACTATGTACAGATGTGTTACATTTGTTTCACCTTGTCTGTCTGAGGCACCTGATTGGTATAATAAAGAACTGAATGGCCAATACCTGGGCAGTAGAGGGATAAGCAGGACTGGCAGGCAGAGAGGGTAAGTAGAAGGAGAAATCTAGTCTTGAGAGAGAAGATAATGAGGGAAAAAGAGAGGGAGACACCTGGGGACAGACAACCAGGCATCTGCCAGACAGACAGACATTGAAGAAACAGGAAAAGTTAGAACATACACAATGAAAGAAAGGTAAAAAGCCCCGAGGCAAAATATAGATGAAGAGAAACAGGTTAAATTAAGTTATAAGAGCTAGTGGGAAAGGTGATTCAGGAAAGCCTGCTACAAATATGAAAATATTAGAAAACATATCAAAATAGCTTAATTCAAGGACTATTCATCAGATAAGAAAATCCATTGAGGTCTACTAATCATAAGTAGCACAATACAAATTGTACCCAGACACTAAATATAGCTAAATTTTCTATATGGAGTCTCTTTACATGGAAAAAAAGAATTGTTACTGAAGTAAGTTATCATTTGTGGAGGTTATTATGATTGTGCTGAAGGAATTGTGTCTGAAAATTTGTGAATGATAACAACCACTCCCGTGGGTTTCATTATGTGAATGACTAACTGAATTTACCTGAGAGAGTACTTTGGAATTCCTGAAGGGTGCATAGGAGAGATGACAGATTCTTTCCACACAGATCTTTACATCATCTAGAAAAAAAAATTGCTGGTTAGTGGGCTACCTAAGTATTTGGTTTGGCCACTTAGAATATTCCACAAATTTGTCTTACGTCAATTTCCTCTAGCAATTCTGACTTGAATTAAGTGACAGGTGTATTTCTACAGTCACTCCGGCGGGCATGGTTTCTAATGTCTTAGAGATCCATAACCAGCCTGTCCATTTCATTTATGTCATTTGCTTAATTTTTTTGGTAGTCATTTAAAAATATGTCTGTAGGCCGTATTCTACAAAACTATGGTCAGATTAGATATAGTCACTAGCAGCATGTAATTATAGATTGCCTAGGCTCTTTTAAATTAAAATTGTGGCTGTGAGGAGGAACCCTTGTCTTCCTGCTATAGTTAGGAGTGGGGACCATTTTTCAAAAAAAGGTACTTAAATTTGCCCTATCTTCATAGAAGTCACAGTGGAAAATATCTATTGGTCTTATGTGAATGCTGTTATTGTTTTAACTGGATTTTGTTCACATGCCATGAAATAATTATGCTTAAGGGTAGTATCATGCAGGTTTCATTGATGTATCTGCCAGATGGCATCTCCTGGACCCATGTCATTGGCAGAAGCCAACATTAAATTTTTCTGCTTTCTTAAGGTGTAATTTTGAGGGTAATGATGGAACTGGGATCCTGTTATTTTATGTTCAATTCCCATCCCCTGAACTTCTTGCTCAGATGTCATTTGTATAGGATGATCTTTATCAGAATAGGTTTTGGTTGAGAGATGATGCACTGGCACTTTCCATGAAGAATTATGGCAATTATCTTACCTGTACTTTTTAGTGAACACCTTCCATATGAGATGCTAACTCTACAGGAAATGTGAAGCACTTGACACTTTCTTTCCCAGGATATGAGGGTAGGGACTTCCTGTGTGGCTGATTAACTAAGTTGGAATAAGAGAGTTCCAGTGTCCTCACAGATCATTTGGTCAAGAAAGAAACACTAGTTAATACAAGATTATTCCAAAACACCTAAAAATAAAATGAAGGAAACAAAGGCCAGAGAACACAGAAGAAATGGGAGTGTCTTGGAACTATTCCATCACCTGCTGTTTTTGCTCACTGCTACATACAGGCATAAGCAAAACAGGGCGGTATTTTGTGAACCTTACTCAAGCAGATGTCTCCATGCAGCTGTGTTGGTCAGCATTCCAACAGATGGACAGCAGACAAGGGAGGACTAACGTCCTGAGAAGCTCGGGACTTTCCCCCATGCCTTAGCCTATCAGTGTTTTCTGCTTTCATTCAATTTAAATTCACCAAACCTTTCTCCCAGGATAGTTCACTGGGCACAGCTACTCCTTTCTTACTGCCTGTTGCCCCTCCCCCAATGATGCAATCAGGGTTTAAGATTACAAGATTTTAAGATAAGGATTGTTCTCAAATCTGGCAAAACAAACCCTCTCTCTAGTAATTCTGTTTCTGGACATACTGATGCATTTCTTTTTTTTTAACCCCCTCCCCCCCATGAATGGAAATCCTAGCATGTTGGTACACGAAAGGGTTAAAAAACTGCTGGCAAGAAATCACGCATGTGCTAATTCTTGCTGCAGCCTCACATCTCTTCCACTTTGACCTCAGAGTTAATCTGCAGGAGTTAATCACGAAGAGCCTCTAGTGATTTTTTTTTTCTATTTCTTTTAAATAACCACACAACAGAACCACACAAACAGAGCACAGCCCCATTTAAAAAGAAAGAAAGAAATGAAAAGAGAGCAAATACATAAACAAAACTAAAAGGACAGACCCCTGGGAGTTCATGTGAGCGCACAGGGCATGAATGTGAGCGCCTTTCTATTTCTCTCATTTGCCTCCGTATGCATCTCTGGGTGTACCATCCCCCCCTGCCTCAATTATATTATCCTCCCAGACTTGGAAGCTGCTGCCTGAGCTAACGCTTTGATGATATCTGCAAGCGTTTGTACTGATCTTTATTTCGGCCCCCTGAATATTAATTTTCGAAGCTGGTAGCAATACATCTCCTGAGTGACGGGACCTACTAGAGGCAGGTGGGGGGAGCCAGCAACAAATCATCAGCATAATAATAATACAAAGGGGAGGGATTCTTCTGCAACCCAGAGGCGAGAGGAAAAAAAAAAAAGCGATGAGTTCGCCAAATACATGGAGCATTGGAAGCACAGTCTACTCTCCGGTATTTTCACAGAAAATGACGCTGTGGATTCTGCTCCTGCTATCGCTCTACCCGAGGTAAGATGGGCCGTTTTCAGCGTCGTTTGTCTCTAGAAAGATGTGGGGGAGAGATAGGGTTGTGGAAGAAGGGAGACCACCCAGATTTGAGACACTCTTTTGGGATTTAGGCTTTATCCTTTAGGGAAGAGTGAATATATGGGGTGGGAGAGAGATGGATGAGAGGGGAAGGACATATTGACTTATTTGTTAATGAACTGGGTTTTATTTGTTTATGTTTTGTTTCAGAGCGCTAAAGCTCACCTCATAGACTCTGTGTTCTGGGAATAGCATTTGAATTTGCTGCAATCTGATATCAAGTGGGCTGTGCTCGCACACGCCGGCATTTGAGGCCATATTGAAGGCATTTGGGTGGGGGTCTGGAGGAGAAAATTACAAATGGGGTCCTGGCAAATACCAGCGTGGTCTGTGTGAAGGAGTATTGGGGGCGGGGGCCGCGCTGTTTCTATTATACACTACAGGCTTCTTTGGTCCTGCACCTGAGCATTCAGTCAGCCAGGTTTTCTATCCAGCCCCATTGACCCGGCAGCTGAATCCCAGATGGGCAAACGCGATTCAGCACCAAGGACAGCGGTCCAGCTGAGGGCCCTGTGGAAAGAGGCTTGTCAAACCTCATACAGTTATCTTTAAATCTACAAAGGACATCCATGTAGTCAGAAGGCCAGTGGGCCAAGGCACAGCACAGGGACCTCACACTGATTATTACTACTCCCACCATCAGATGGGAGAGGGGATACTGCACATAAGGTAGGGAATGTAGTTCAATGAATGTTTCGGGAGTATATCTGGAAAGAGTTGGCCTGGCTGCAGTCTTGAAAACATGCTCAACCAAGTGAATGCAATGCCAAAATCGTGAAGCATGCACGAGCGCTTTACAGTCTTCCTGCACAAATAAAGGGGAGGGAGGACCTGTAAAATTCCTGAGCATGACTGCTCCCTGAAATGTATTTCATCTAGATTATTTAGAACTTCTTTGAACTAAGCCTGTGAGAGTAGAATCCCTCCACCAAGTACAGTGTCCCATGCTTCTATCCATAGAAGTAGCTCTCACCACATTATGGTTTCCAACCAGAACAAACGACAGGCAAGAAGTCCACTCTTGCCATAACAGCTCTGCCTGTGTTTCCATTTTGAAACAAAACATTGTTAAGAACTACATCTGTGGTTGTGCCGTCCCCCACCTCCAATAAAGACATAAATCTATGGAAGATATCAAGACACTACTCCAAAGTTTTCTTGGAAGTTGATGTAGTAGTTGTAATAGAGATAAACTGAACTGTTTGACAGTTTAACTACAATAAACATTGAATACAGATAGTGTCATTAAAAACCACAAGCTGAAGAAGTGTCCCAGAAGAGGAGAGGAACACTTGCTGGAAAGAGTATCATATGTCACAAATCACAGAGTAGAACCATTAAAATATTTTTTCTATTCAAAATCATCACATGCTTTCCTATTACACATTCTAAGTAAGTTTGTAAAGTTTGTTTTTGGGAATCAGAGTACTCATAAATAGGGCACTTCTTCCTTGTATTTCTACAAACCATGAAACCTGTGGAATAAAATCTAGACCAGACACGAGGAAAATGTATCTTTCCTTCTTATTCCCATTCATTTTAGTAAAGAATTTGCAAATAAATGCTTGAGTATATTCTTATGTATCTCACCTCCAAATAATTGTATGGTTACTCCAAAATATTATTTTATTTTAGTTTATGATATGATATCTTAGTATTTAAGATTTATGTGTTGTGAAAATTCTCTAATGGAAATATTTTTTGTGTGTGTGTGTGTCCTCACAGTAATGATATAGCGAGTAGCTATTGCAGTTTGGTGCAGTGGATGTGATCAGAGTTTTATTTGCTGCAGTTCAGTAGATGATCTATCTAAATGGCTAAGTATGGGTGGAGGAAAAGAGAAAATTTGATTTCTAAAGCTGGTGCGAAGGTGGGGGGTACAATAAGTCTCTTAAAAAAATGGAATTCTAAGATTCTGTCTTGTAAGCAATAATAGTAAGAGAAAAGTACTGAACAATGTAGGATCTTTAATGGACTTTATTTTTATCTATTAAACTCCAAATAAGCTTTTCTTCCTATTAAATGACTAAACTCACCCAATTATCTCCACATAAAAGCAAAATATATCATAGAACAAGACACTAGAGTAAGCCTATTGAAAGCTTATAGCTCTCCTTTGACTGAGAATTTCACAAACTTGGAATTTGCTCTACTCCTATGTATCTTGTTTACAACTTGTGAGAATCACTTGGGGACTTACTAAAATGGAAATTCCTAAACCACACGCTGGATGACTCTGAGTCATGAGGCCTGAGTGAAGTCTAAGAATGTTGATTTTAACAAGTTTTCAGAGTTCCTTTAAGAAAAACAGGCCTGTTGTCTGTCTATTTAAAAAAGTTTATTTATTGCCCCAGTTAATAGTCATAAATATTTTGTTTCTTACAATTTTATTCACCTTGGCACAGAAAATCAATTCCTCATTCACAAACTTTCTAATTGTATATCCATCAAGTATACCCATAAATCAAAATTGAAAACTGTAAAAGATGTTACTATATTTATAGCATGTGTAAGAGTTCTTGAAATATTTTAATATATGTACCTGAATAAATATCTATTTACACATTCTATCTACCACAACGGTGCCTATTGGCAAGTATGTTTTAAAACAATTTTTAAAACATTCTGTTACAGAGTTTGAAAAGTAGTAAAATTTTAATATGCATCAGAAATAATTGGGTATAGCAGGAAATTGCTGTACAAAAAGAGACATTTTATTTTGATTAGAACAAATTATACTATATTTAGACTGACAGATAATTATTTTCAAAGTATTAGATTGAGCAAAAACATATTAGATTAAATTTTTGATAATAAATTTCAATTCTTCATTAAAATAATAGTTTTAATATCTTTACTTTATATATTTTATAGATAATTTAATTAAATATTTCTCACTTCTCACCACTCCTTCTAAATCCTCCCATATATTCCTCCTTGCTCTATGTCAAATTTATGTCCTCTTTTTAATTATTGTCAAATATATATGTATACACCTATTTATTGAGTACCATTTTAATGCCTATATTTATTTTCTCTCCTTAGCTATTGATGGATAAAAAATGTTTCAGATAAAATATTGAGAGCTTTGAAAAATGTTTAATTCCATAATTACATTTTATGCTGACTTTTACTTTTGCGGACCACAACCATAACCATAAAAGAAGATATTTCAATATAACCGACTTGTTGACAGAGTTAATTTCCATGGACAAGCTTGTTACTCTAGATCTTTACAAATGTTTTACCGTGTTTTCTCTAGAAGACTACTTTGTTTTTCATAAGCACACACACAATTGCTTTGATTGTCAACATAGGATTCCAGTTATTCTGCCTTAAACACCTACCTGAAAGGGTAAAATAAGAGGCTGTAAATATGATTCAGAATTTCCAAGAATCCTTTTCCCACCACACTGTAAACCAAATACCTGGATAGCAGGCTAGGATTTCAAAGCCATTTTCTGTTTTGTTGTTAATGTTTCACTTTGTGTTGCTCAGGCTGGGCTACAGGTTAAGCTGTAGGCTGTGCTCCACGCCAGTTCAAAAATTAAGTTTTTGTCTAAATAATTAACCACATAAATGCTTTTTTGATATCCCAGATTCATTTTGAATTTAATCTAAAATAATTAATTCACAAAAATTTGATTCACTGGTAAAACGTATTTAGATATTTTGTAATTTCTACTCAAATTGGTAGGGAGTCAAGACTGATTGTAGGGACATCATTCCTGTGGTTCATATTGTGCTACCCATCCCATGGTTCCTTGTGGATTATAGCATCTTACTTAGTTAGTCAAGCATGGATGTTTAAAGTTTTAAGTACAATGTAAATATCTCACAAGTAATCTTGTCAAGATAACATACTTAGAAGAACAGAGGGTAGATAAGTTGGAACCAATAATGCCACAGGTAATTAGTGATTGATTTAAAATAAAATCAGCTATGTTAAGTGTGCACACATGCTTATACACTTACTATGTACATGCTACATGTTTACTTATTAAGCGCACATGTTTTGCTAAATGAATCCACAAAGATTCTCATATTGTTACTTCTTATCTGTTGGCCTTAGGCAAAGCACTTTGTCTGTAATTCTATTTCTAGTCTGTCAACCCTGGGTGATAATGACTGTTTCATCAATCCATAGTGAAGATTAGATATAGTTGGCACACATATATGTAGTTCACTCTATCCACATATATGACAGAAGTAGATTTGAAAGTATGTCTATTTATTTCTGTTTTTGAAGATGCCTTATTTTCCTCTAATTCTGCACAACATGCATCATGCTGGGGGTTGTTTCTAGAACATGGACATGCTAAGCACTCACATCCCAGTCAGATGGTTCCTTTTCTTGACATCAACCTGACACAAACAAATAACAACAACAACAGTGACAACAACAACAACAAAATCATGGAATATTTATCCAAATTTATCCAAAACTGACTGTTTTGACACCTATACTGGTTGAATTTTTAGACTGTTTAATTAAGAACTTTTAATCTGTTTTCTGTGATCAATTTGGTAAAATTGTTTTTTTGAAAAATCACAAGCACATGCCATTTCAATAAAGCCCAATTGTACTATATCAGATATGACATATTCTAGAAAAGCTTAGCTCCAAATGCCTCTTGGATAAATTACAATATTTAATCTAAATTTTTTCTGAGGATTCCTTGAGACCTTAATATTTACCAATTATATCACCATTAAAAGCTATCACATTGTACTCTCTGGTCAGACATGCTTAGACACAGCTTGTTATTCACTGGCTTTATACATTTAAGGACATACTAAGTGCAATGGTCTAAACCCCAAGTTAGAGTTGTATTTGGGAAAATACATTTTCCTTATGGTCATGTATGTTGAAGGAAGGGATAGCTTACTTTGCAATTCTTTGACTATGTAGGAACTACTAC